GGAATTCTGCTGCGGAAGATTCACTTCATTACCATTCATTCATTACCCACTATAAACCTTATTCTATGGCTTCACCGCACTACGGCTTTAGGGGAGTTTCTTTACGCTGGTTTTCGCCGTACCTGCTTGGTCGACGACAATGTGTCTTCATAGGATCTTAGTGCTCCAACTACCCACCAATTGAATTGGGAGTGCTATAGGGTCCGGTTCTGGGTCCGATCCTATTTTTGCTGTACATTAATGATCTTGCTAATCTCCAGATTCGTGGGATATTCACCATATTCGCCGATGATACCACAATAATGTGGCAGGCTCCGGACCCCGTTTCCCTCCGTGAAATCATTTTGCAGAATCTCCAGACAGTGAAGACTTGGTGCGACTCTAACCTATTAACAGGTTCGTTCCAACCCAGCCAAAAACCGTTCAATGTACGGTCACGGTCATGCGCCATAGGTTAAACGCGTTCCAACCGAGAGATGATCGTTTTCCGTTCAGTTTCGTTGGCGTTCCAACCAAACCTGGGATCGTTCGAGAACTGGTTTTAGCACCGTCATTTCGATCCCGAGTGGAAAGCAAGAACCGCGTGGACTGATCCATGACTGACATGCGTAATTCAATTTTTGTCACCTGTTGTTGTTCATGTTGTTGTTAAACAACCAATTTCCAATCTAACTTATAAAACTGTAGCATTTTTATTTTTTTCAAGTGAAAAAAAGTACAAAATTTATTATCAGCTATTTGCTAATCCTTGATGTTATCAGCTTGCAAGGATTCAGTTTCAGATTTTTGATAATGAATCAGCGTTGGTGTTCGATTTTCCTTTTTTATATATTATTTTGTAATCCTAATCCTATATTCTTCTATTTTAATTTGCGAACAAACAAATTTAGGGTTAAAGTTATTTGAACTGTCGTCATTACGAAAACGATCATGAAACCGTTCCAACTACCCGTTGTTTCTGTACCAAGATAAAACCGTGCAAGGTCAACGCATGCGCCTTCAATCGATCCTAACAGTTCCGAAACCGTTTCATGACGATACGAAAACGGGGGGTTGGAACGAACCTATTGAATCCCACAAAAACAAAGCTGGTATGTTTAAAGTGTACTCTTGCAGATATTTTTATGGATAGTGCTCCAGTTGAGATCAAACCTGACAGCAGATTTCTTGGAATTTTCATAGACGGAGAGCTCAAGTTCCACACACACACACACACACACAAAAATTTGAAACTTCATTGTTTTAGTACTAATAAGGGTAGCTAAGTATCTACCTTATAATTTAGATTTTTGAATACTTCGAACAATCCCAACTTTTTTCTAATATTGAAATTTTCAGCGATTCTTATCCCCGTGGACGACTACAATTCCTGAAAATTTCAGTTCATGACCTATAGTGTCTGAAATAAAATCGCGTTAAGCATTATAGTCCAAGAGCCGGCAATACTAACGGGTATGTGATCGTTGCGATGGATAATTTCTACAAAAAACAATAGTTCATAGTAACCTTTAAACCAAATGGATGGGTGGTCTCGATTCTCATGGCCGTAAAGTTGTTTTATAAAAAGATACTTCAAGAACCATAAGCGCAACAAATAAGAAGTACCTTGCGATGTAGAGGGTTCTCATCATATGCGGCAAACACTTTATTAATACAATTTCATATTTCTTTTTTTTGTCTAAAGACCTACAGCCGTATGCAAAATCCTCTTCACAGAGTCCTCTTGTGACTTTGAAGGCTTTCACTTTCAAAAATTTGTATTTAGCAAGCAAAATAACGTGTGTGCTCGACTTTCAATGAGTGTTGCCATCATTTCCGGCCATCAAAATCGAGGCCACCCTATCTATTATTTGAGAAGACATATTAAAGAATATATCTACCAATTTTCAGCTATTGCAACGATAACATTGTTCCTTCGGAAAAAGAGGGGTAGTTTACGCCCAGCCATCAAAGGTTTGCGGCCATGAGAATCGAGGCCACCCATCCATTTAGTTTAAAGGTAACTCTGAGCTATTCTTTTATGTGAAAATTATCCATTGCAACGATCACATACCCGTTAATATTGCCGGCTCTCCTACTATTATGGGGTGAATTTTTGAATTTGTCAATTTCCTGACGTCCTTTTTACAAACATTTTGAATTGAAATCTTTGAATAATTTAGTTTATGGAGTCTGGGGGTCCCAAAGGATCATTTAAACACAAAATGTTAACATATAAAAATTTGAAATTTCATCGTTTCAGTAAGTACTAAGGTAGGTACCTACTTATGATTTATATTTTTGAAAACAAAACTTTGAAAAATCATATTTATTTTTATACATAGAAAGCTAAAGTTTTCAGCGATTCTTATTCTTGTAGAGGACTACAAACCAGTGGCGGTTCCTCCATAAGAGCACATGTGCACGTGCACTCCCAAATTAATATCAAACAACTTTAAATTTAATTTTATCATTCTTCAAATTTTAACATTCTACCTATAAAGTATTAATTTAAAAAATTAGTGGCCAAATGCGCCAGCAAAACAAACGCAACCGGCAACGCTGGAATCACAGCGTCCACCGCGTCGCTTGATCGCCCCGTTCACTGCACATTTCAATATTAAATCCAATTGGTGGAACTATGCCCCCCCGCACTCTTTGTTCCCCGTGAAGGTCTAGCGACGTTCGATGTTTTAAGCTGGCTGGTGTGCACATGTAGTCAGTGCACTTTGGGATCGGAAGTTGTTTTATATTTATTTCGATTCAAGCGCGATTTAACTGAAAACTGTGTGTAGAATGGCGGGATTTCTGAACCCCGATAGCCTTAGCGTGCAATATTTAAAAACAATTAAATTTTCTTCGCTTTCTTTGGAGGAAAAAATCCAAATCAAATGTGTCGGCCGTCCAAAGCCAAATTTAATAATCACCAACATAACAAAATGCAAAAGTCGTGATTATAAACTAACTTTTAAAATGGAAACTTACGAAAAAACTGACTGGTTGTGCGGTTGTGATGTTAGTAATAGTCTTTACTGTTTTCCCTGTTTGTTATTTGGAAGCGATGAAGCATCAGAATGGACAAAATCCGGCGTTAAAGATTTAGTACATTTATCCGAAAAAATTAAAAAACATCAAAACTCAAAATCACATCTTACTCTTATCTTTCAATACAAAACGTGTCTGTGAGAATTGTGAGATTGAAAACTATAATACATTTATGTATAAAAACAATTGTTAGACCAGGACGATGTACTCAGCGAGGTAAGTTACTTTGTTACTTAATTTCTAGTTTATTGATATAAGATCCTTCAATTTCCACGATTTGATAGACCGAAAAAAGTATTAAATTGAGCTTAGTTGGTTGTTTGGTAGGGTAGATATGAAATCCCATAACAATATTTTTAATTATTGGTAGGTAAACACATCACATAACTCATACGATCACTTACAATAAATTATTTTTTTAAAGGCCTAAAATAAACACTTCTGGGCGTGGCACCCCGAAAGATTTCGCGCCTCCGGCGGCGCCTGCGGCGGGCATCCCCCTTTCGGCGTTTATTATGAATTACAAATTATGTGCACCCCCAATATGTTATACCACGAGCCGCCACTGCTACAAACCCTGAACATTTCAGCTCAGTTGGAATTATAGTTAGAGATACAAATCCGTTAACAAGTAGGTTCTACCTAGGTATATAACTTATGATTTAATCGGTATCTGCATATAGCTGCAATTGATATACTCCGATTTTAATGAATTTAATAAGGAACTAACGAGTTTAGAAATAATGAATACTTAGATAGTAATTTTTCCAATATAAATAGTCAATAAAGCTATTATGTACTTATCTGGGTGTTTTGAAATACATTTCCATTAAATGTTCAAAAAAAATTTATTTATAAATGAGTAATTGTATTATCTAACTTGAAATTTATTTTTTTCTGAACCAATGAAAGATTTTAGTGCGTCACCATCCATTAGCCCATGCAGAAACGGTACATGTTGTCTGATGGCGTGGCGCAACACTATTGACCTCCTTTCGGCTATTATTTAATAACTTTACGATTTTGAATTTTATGTAACTGTTGCTAAATATTCATCGTGAAGAGGCTCTGTAGTTTTAATACTAATATTGTTTAATCCGTTCATAATTCTTGTAATGTATAAATCAAAGATTTTGTTTCCACCTATATCAAAATTTAATATATACCTACAACTGTATAACATAATATATAAGTACATACATAAATAAAAAAGTAAATCGAGTTTCAGTGTAGGTACCGCATTGTTTTCTCTCGTAAATCACTGAAGTATTGCAAAAGCCAAGATGGTCCCTAATTAGTTTGTGAAGGTACCTAACTAACTGTATTTTATGTAATAAAGCTTGTAAGACAATAGTTGCGCAAAGTTATAGGATTAAGAAGTTATTTTCTTTTGTGTGCATACAATAATTTTTGCATCTGAAATTCTGAATATGTCCTAATATCCAGGGACTCATCAGATATGAGAATATATTGCTCTTGGCTTCGCTATACGAGACAATACAGAGATCCAGTATGCGATGTATAAAGAAATATACCTGGGTATATAAAAATTGGACAAGGCATACAAATCGTATAAGGGTTATGTAATATAATTTTGAGAATACACTGCTCATAACTGCCATTGTGTTGTTCATTGTTCATAATGACCCATAGAGCTTAGCTCTGCTACTCCATATTCATCTTTAGAAAAACATAATCAGTTTATTGAAAAGTAGAAACAAATATTTTGTGAATTATGAATGATATATTATGAAACATGCAGATGGAAATGATGATTCAAATAAATAAATAGGAACAATGATGATATTGTAAAATTTCATCAAAATATTATCCATATAAACCTTATTTTTCTTTATCGTAATATAATTTAAATTTATGTAATCTTCCCGTATGTGGCAATAACGTAATAAATTTTCATATTCAGCGCAGCGTACTAAAATGCATTTCTTTTGTATTAATTAACAAAAACCTAATTGTGTGCTTGTACTAAATAAGCACATCCCATGCCGTGCATTAAGTCACCAAAAAATTCATCAGGGCACGATGATGACGAAGAGTAAGAGTGAGAGGAATAAATAAAGATACTTGGTGGCCGCTACCAAGGAGCTGAACAAGGACGAAGAAATTGAAATTGGTGTAAGTTGGAAATTTTTCGGGGGGAAAATCGTTGGTTTTGTAATTGCGATTGTGCCTTAAAAGTCTACTTATTCATCGATAGTTTGGTGGGTTAGTTGGTAATTTGCAGGGCGCAAATTTGGTCAGAAGCCTATTTTGAAGCTATTGGTTTTTTAGTGTTTGTGATCGAATTTGTGTGTTGGAAACTGATTATTTTGATTGAACTATCATAATATACAGGTTAGTATATAACATTTCTTACCTAAACTATTTATTTGAACGATAAATTTATAACAAGAAAAAGTTTAGTCACTACTTCAAAAATGTATTCTTCAATGATACATACATTCCAAATAAAGATTTTAATGTGGTATTTTCCACATTAAATTTTTAAGCAAAAAGGTAGGTACATTTATTGATACATACATTCAATATTCATCAAATTTGATTTTGAAATTTGAATGTAAAACTTGTCAAGCTTAAATGAAAACTAGATTATGATATTTGATAACACACTTTAGATAGATAATTATTTCGAATGCATAGTAATTTTAGATTAAGGGATTATGTTTGATGAGGCATTTTTCGTACAATAAACTATATAGAACTTTAATTTTTGACTTATATAAAGTATATAATAAATTTTTTTATACGCCTTTTAAATAATTTCCTATATAGCTGATCATTTTCAAACAGCTTCCAACTATATTTTACAAAAATAATAAAACCCTCTTAATTTTCGTTGCACTTTTAAAATTTGTTGGCTCTGATAGGTACTTCGAATCTTTTGAGCAAGTTGGGTTTATAAAATTTGAGAAAATCAAAAGCACTCCATTTGTTCTAAATTGCACACTGGATACATTCATTTTGTGCACTAATAAATTTTAAATAAAATTCCATTACATTTATTGATTTACCCCAGTCAAACAATAATTTAATTGCAACCATTATTATAACATTCAGGCGTAAAATGCATTCTCAACTAATAAACAGGGGCGGATGGGCTCAGGCGGGACACCGGGACGATTCCCGGTGGGCCGGAGAGCCAAGTGGGCCGGTTCAGGAAAAAAAATATATACGATAACAAACAATACGCTGCAACTTCATAGAAAAAAATCACTTAAGGCGTAACGCGGCAACACTCTGCCAATTCAACAGAAAGCAGTCTTCGTTTTTTGTCGTTTTTCACAAGGCGTTGAGCTGCCATCTAATATTGGAAAATATTTTCATTAAAATTTAGACTTTTTCTGTAAATTTACCCTTTTTCTGTAAATTTATACTTTCTCTGTAAACTTACACTTTTTCTGTTCAATCAAACATTACCGAGGACACTACCAAACTTACCTATAATAACCCGCTAAGTTCGAAATTTTTATCAGACATAATCAAAGTTACCAATAATAAGCCGGTTAGTTTCTGTTAGTTTGCAATTTCAATAAGATATTTCCAAACTTACCAATACTAACCCGGTTGCATATTCATTTTTTGCCTACGTAACGGACGTTCGGCTGAATTCGTGCCCTCCGCCGTGAAGCGTTGGCAGAATATGAGCATCGCAACCAGACGTTGGCACAAAATAGCTGATTAATGGAAAATTATCGTTCTCGTTTAATCGAAAACAATCGATAAGGTTGTTAGGATCGGAAATAATCAATAAATCAAAAATAATCGATTATTTATTTTGAGAATTTCATACATCTGTCAAAACTGGTTTTCCAACAATAAACTGACATGTTTTGACATTTTTTGACAAAAAAATTAAATTTTTGATTTATGAAATTCTCTCATCAAATACAACTCGTGCAATGGAAATATATTTATAATTTTCGACAAATTTGCACTCATGCATTTTTAACTGAAAAAGGCACTCGTGCACTACGTGCATTCGGGCAAATTTCCTAAAAATTATCAATAATTTCCATTGCACTCGTTATATTACTATTGATAATTGCCCAGCCCTACTAACCACTACGCTTACATCAAATGATTCTCAGATTTCTAATGAGATCTGAATAAGGATCCAAATCCCACCGAGGAAGTGAAACACAGATTGATGTGAGCATAATGAAATTTCGAACACAAATATCGAGTTTATTGAGGTTACGATGATAATAATAATAATAATGTCAACTTACATCCACTTCTTGTTCGGTATTAATGTTAATTCTAAATTCGTTAGAATTAACATCAAAATAATTATTATATTTCTGCTTTTGCACATACATATTGATTGATTTTTAATTCTTAAATAAAGGTATTTTTATGCGTTATCGCGTTCGACATAGAGGACCCAACAACAATAACTGCCAATTTCCAACTGAATTTAGAGAATACATAGGTATTTTCCTATTTTTGCGAATGCCAGACGGGCCCTATAAACTGCCAACTTAAGTCCACTTGAATCATAATTTGCCTACGCTGTGCTCGAACGTACACTACTGCAGCCGAAGGTCCTATTACGTTGGCAGAAAATGAATATGCAACCCGGTTAGTTTGGGTTAGTTTGCAATTTTAATCAAACATTAAAACTTACTGATAATAATTCGGGTTAGTTTGCACTTTCAATCAGAAATTACCAAACTTACCGATAATAACCCGGTTAGTTTGGGTAAGTTTGCAATTTCAATCGAACATAACCATTTTGTTTTCAAAATTTGTGTTAGTTTGAAATCCATTGTATTCAAACATTACCAAACTCAAACCTACCGAGAATAACCCGGTTAGTTTTCAATTTTAATCAGACATTTTTAAACTTACCGATGTTATAACCTGTTTAGGTTAGTTTGGGGGTAGTTTGCTATTTCAATCAGACATTAGCAATAATAACCCGGTTTGTTTGGACATGCTTCAAAATTATTCATTTTCGAAAAAAGTTATTCAAAGTCGTGTTCCAAATGGTTGATTTTTGAAACGAAAGCATTCGGAAAAAAAAAATCGCAATTTTTGTTTTCGAAAAATAAACATAGACCTTGTAATGTCTGAATAAAATTGCGAACTAACCCAAATTGCGGTACTTAAATTTGGTGATGTCTGATTAAACAGAAAAAGTGTAAACTTGAACATGAAAATATTTTACAATACCTATCAGCATGGCTCTACGCTTTCGTATTTTTGAGTAATATAAGGAGGTTTTTTTTTTCCAAAAAAGTAGACTATTTAATACCCTACCCAGCGTTATTCACCTCCTGCCGGTAGTAAAGATCTTGGCTGTCCCCTATGTAACCAAAATTTTTGGCTACGGCAGCAGAAAAATTAGCTATGGCAATGAAAAAAATTTCTCAGTGTAATTTTAAATTAGAGGCCCTAATTAGCACCTGAAAAGCGCCTAATTATTATATAGATCCCGAAGTTTTTTTGCCATTCTGACACACTAACAAGTAAACATAAAGCTAGCAGTCAGTCCCCTTATAATTAAAAAAAAATCTGTAACTCAGTTAATAATTAATCAATTCTATTTTTTCTTCGACTATTTAGGAGCGTTATTCACCTCCTGTGAGCACGCGGGGCCGCTTGAGCAAAAACCGTCCCGGGCCGTTTCAAAGTTGCCCATCCGCCCCTGCTAATAAATATTATACCTACAATAAAATGTAGTCAAATGAGGAATAAAAATAAATTTAGATCGACAAAACAAGTGGAAAATGCTAGCGATACGTGTATAGTTTCTTATGTAAGGCCTTTCTGCGTTAACCCACTTTTATGAAATCACATTAGGTTCCTACCTATAATCGCATTTATAATAATACTTCGCGATTTATCTCGTAATTGAAAAACTGTAGAAGCTTGGAGAACAACGTTGGGAATTTATCGAGAAAAATATCATTATCTAATAAAATTGGTTTCATGTGAGTAAGATTTAATTGCAATCTGAATTGAAACTGTATGCATATACGTCTAAGCTTCGTCTTTCTTTTAAGACACACCAAGACACTTTTACATTTAGGTCTTGCCTCTTACCATTTTCTAAGTTTGAGATCTTCCAATTGTTCCAAGGAGTCTACAATCAATCAGTACCTTACAGCATTCAATTCTCACACAAATCGTCGCTGTCATTACGAAGTGGCCAATCTCTGATTTAACAACTTTTCAAGAGAGCGTTTTGGAGAAAACTCTACTGTTCATTTTCTCTGTAGCACTGGATAAGTATAATTCAGAATCAGAACTTGTTTTCTCATATATAACACAAAAGTATACTCAGAACAGTCAGAACATTGACACATATCTTTTTTGAAAGAAAAGATTGGCTTTTTTTTGTAGATAAATTATTAAGAAGATAAGCCTGTTCGTGATAAAAACAAATGTTTGGCTGTTTGACAAAGCAGATATGCCGCTAAAATTGAATAATGGCCACACGGTGTATTATGGTGATATGCCAGTTCGTCACAACATAAATATGGTTCTTTTAAGTATTTTCATGGGAATAACTCATTTTCGCCAAATATTGAGATAGGCTCCTTCGTATTGACAGCGACGAAATATTCTGGTAGATGGTTTGTATTTTGTTACCGGCAGTATGGAAAATGTCTAGTGATTCTGCAAACTCACCGATTGCTCAGGCATATTGCATATTGTCTGGATATCTGGACAGTTTGTACATTGACTGAAGTAATTCAGGCAATCTGCAAAATGTTTGAATAAATGTGATTTCTCCGAGAGCCAGGATATCACATTATATGAGTTAAGTTTTACAATTGAAATTATTGTTAGCTGTAATTTCAATTGATAATAATTTGATGTTGGCTTTTACGAATTTATAAAGTAGGTACCTAAAGCTTTTAATATAATATTTTTTTCAGGTGTAACACTTGGTTGTGGACAGTGCGTTACAGTAGGTCCGCAAATTGATATTGTGAAATTTATTTTTTAGGTAAGTAGGTACTCAATAGTAAATCATACAATAATTAGAACTAAAAATTGAAGCAGTAGTTATTTATTCTTTTTTATCAGATCAATTATGTTACGCATTTTTAATATTGGGAAATTTTAGTTAAACAAACTCCAAACATCAAGCGATACTTATTGACCTACTAAAAAAGACCGTAAGTAGAACGTAAAGGTGTTACTTACCACAAACTCAAGACGGCTGACCTATACCGATCGGTTGTATAACATGTTACGTTTCAGCCGGTAACTTTCACTGATATGAGCAATTTCAGCTGTTGTCTTTTATGCGAGATTACTGTGTAGGAACAAAAATGTCTCAATTTCGAAACAAAGAAAAATGATTGCGTGTTCTACAGTTTTATGTTTTCAAAAGTAAATTCATCATCCCTCATTTACGGTACATAAAATGCCTGGCCCCTTATACACGAAATACAAAAACTATTGTTAGGAAACGGGAAACATATTCTTGGCCGAAACGAACCAATAAAAAACGAATAAAAAATTGTGTGTGTTCGAAACAAGAGGGGTATAAAAGTGACATTTACACAATGCGAAAACGTTGTAATAAAATTGATTCAGTGTCGCATTATGCCACGGTTTTGGTGTTTTATTTATTTTTTATTTTCGGAAATAAAATTGATATATTTTGAAGTGGTATTGTTTTGAAGAAGGATTAAAATTGTAGCATTCCTTGTACTAGTCTCACTGTTAGATTTTAGTGATTTTCTCATTGTAGTACTGTACATCAAAAAACTGTTTATACCTATTTGTCACCTGTTTTATATGTTAATTAATGTCGGTGTCATTATGACTCATTTAACATTGTCATTTGCATGTCATTAGGTACTTCATATTACCACTAGTATTATTATGAAAATTCATAATAACACCCAAATTATAAAATAAAAAATATACAAAAATAAAGTTAGTTACCTACCAGAAGAACCTTTTCATTGATGCTGTCTTGATATCCGAAAGGACACTTTCGGACTCAGAATCACTATCATATTAATAATTATTTTCCACTATAAAACTGAATTTGTGGAACAAAAATGGACTCCAATATTGAAGCGGCCAATGTCAAAATTCCAAAAATCAACAAGCGCGTTCGCCGAATAGCATGGGCACTTGCTAAATTTTCAATTTTAATTTGATAAGTTTTTGCTATTCCAAGACAAAAAAAAAGTCTATTTGGACCATCGTAGATTAAATTTTGAATGACTCACGTCTGAATCGTCTGATATGAAGTTTATTAATGAAACTCGTGCATCTAAACCATTCGGCTCACGCCTCGTGGTTTAACGTTACACGCGTTTCATTATGGTGTTCATATCGAACTAGTTTCAATTATAAATATTAAAACATGACAATATATATTATTCTATGATGACAATGATATTTAGTAGACTTTGATGCGTGTGTCAGTTTATATAGACGTTTATTTTTATATTCTGTAACAAGCCAAAATTGCCTAGCTAATTCTTACCTACTCTCAGTTTTATATTCAAAATTCCTTTGAATTTGTTAACATTTTCTCTCTATAAAATTTCAATAACAATCACAGCAATTGCAGATCCTGTAAATTTTCTAATTTTCAATCGGCAAATTCTATTTTCATTTGTTACTAGTTCCTGTACTGTAATGATTTTTCCTCGATTTTAATCCATATTTTAATTCAGTTTCAAAATCAAAACAAATCAATATTTTGATTCCAATTTAAAATTCAATTTACCTGTTGGAAATAGGGTTTGTTTGCCTCGAAACTACTCTGGAAGTCTGGATCGATATCTTGGAGTGAGTGAGATGATACTCTACTCTTTAGGTCAGTTTTTCACTAATGAATAAATGAAAAAAGTCAGAATCTACTGTGGGAAAAAACGTGTAAAGCAACTTACCACATGGAGTTGTAAAAATCTGAATTAATCGGCGAAAATTATAACACTACGAAAACGTAAGGCAACAGGCAACTAAATGTGTTATAAATTCAATTGAGAATATAAGATCGATATCCCACAACGGCGAAGACAATCTTCAAAAAAAAAGGACGTAGCTGACCTAAAGGTAGGAATTCAGAGATGATTCAGAATAACGACAAACATCAAAAAGTAATCGATAGAATCCCGTTAGACCAAGGGTTAACTTCCGATGCTAATCAACAACAATCATTATTCAAATCCCTTGCTATGGTACTCTCGGCAAGCCATACTGTCTGTAGCCTTAACCAGTAACATCTCACTGGCAATTTTAGCATCACCCTAACATGTCATTTAGGAATAGGATATATTAGGTCATTGAGGAATAGGTTTGTGGTTGTTTTACCATTTCTTGCAAACCTATATCCATCATAGTATTATTTTATTCCTAATACCGTTTGTTTTGTTTTAATTCCCTTACCTCCATTTGTTGACTCCTGAAACACTTGATTGTTTTGTTGGCTGAGCCACAGTTTATACCGTACCGATACAGTTGTACAACTCTCCATATTTTTTGAGGCCAAATTCTCCAACCAATAGGATCATTTTGTCCCATATCTTGCGCATGCGCTCAATGAGTGAACAAATCTCTCAAATTGAAAAAGCAGTTCGGCATATACATGTCTCTTTCCAATCGTGCACGCAAAAAAGAGATAGAGATAGCTTGGGTGAGAACCCGTGAGAAATAACTGTCAAACGAGACACGCAACAGGATTGTATTACAAAAAAAGAAGAGAAGTTTTTTGACTGAAATTATTCAGGAAATTGAAAAGTAACCGGAAAATTCATCAATTTGAAATTCGGCTTTGTTAAGAGTGTTTTGCTTTCCGTGTTATTCGCGATTTTTGCGTACTTGACTGTTTTATCGTTTATATATTGTGTATTATCATGGTTGCTTCCTGTTTTGTCTGTAAAAACAACACTAGAACTAGCCCAGGCTTAGGATATTTTAGTTTCCCGAACGATGAACGACTTTAAGTATTTATATTTACATATTTCATATTAGGTTTACTCTATATATTCACATAATCTTTGTTTATTATTATATGATCCCGATATATTCTCAATGTTAATCCACAAAAATTCTAGTCCGACTCTGTCCACGGCCCAGGATTCGTTGTTTCCGATCAATAATGCGCAAGCGCGAAATATAGGGACATAGAATTTGGCTTCAAAAAATCAATGGTTTGTCAACGGAGTTGAACAACTGTATCGGTACGGTATAAACTGTGGCTGAGCGAAGAGATGGTTGCCTTGGTTGCGTGTTACTGTCTTGGCGCGAAACGGGACAGTGTCATGTCATTAGGTCGATTTAGTTCTCCGTTACTGCTTTTATTAATAGTTTATTGACTTTCTGTTTGGTTCTTGTGTTCAGGATGATCTTCTTACCTTTCTTTTTGTTTACATATTTCCTTACCCCCTACCTGACCTTACCTGAAGTTAGTTGGCTTATCTTTTGCTGGTTGAATTTACCTTTTACCATGCTTATTGCGTCCACCTTTTGCCTTTTTGGCGTTCAACTCTTAGTGGTCATAACTTCTTCTCTTTCCTTTACTTCTTCTCTTTCCTTTCCTTCACGACTTCGCCTATTTTTGCCTTTACCTTTAGCTTCGTTGACTTCAGTTATCTTATCTTTTATCTTACCGTTGTATTTTTCAAGGCAAAGTAAGTGGATGTTCGTTCTGGAGGGATACAACTATCTTCCTTAATACCTTTTCTTTGTTGTATCAGATTGAATTTTAAATTGAAATCAAAATATTGATTTGTTTTGATTTTGAAATTGAATTAAAATATGGATTAAAATCGAGGAAAAATCATTAGAGCACAGGAACTAGTAACAAATGAAAATAGAATTCGACTATTGAAAATTAGAAAATTCAGAGGATCTGCAATTGCTGTGATTGTTGTTGAAATTTTATAGAAAGGAAATGTTAACAAATTTAAAGGAATTTTGAATAGAAAACTGAAAGTAGGTAAGAATTAGCTAGGCAATTTTGGCTTGTTACAACTCCCCCTCTCCTACGATAGGAGGGAAAGTTAGAAAGAAACTTTTCCGACGAAAATCTAAGCAAACTCGAGAACTAAGATAATATAAAGTAAGTATGTAAAATAAATGTATTTATAATTTGCCTGTAAATAAATCCATTTCTTTTGGGGTTATGTTTTCCCAACCGTTTGACCCGTTTTCAAAGTGTATGTACCGAGCTACTCGGTTCGGCTATTGAACCGGGTACAATTCTATCAGATAATAATTAGTTGCGTGTGCTTATTTTGTCCTTCGTTTATTAAGAATATATCCCGCATAAAACCGATAAATTCCAATAGGTTACGGGCCCAGTAGTGTTTTTCCTTAGAACAGGTAAAGTGGAGTTGGAAAATGAAGCCGTTTTTCTCCAGGTGTTTTGGCAACAAAAAAATGGCGGTATAGGCAATGCAATGCTTTACCTGTCATTTGGTGCCATACACCTGCCAAAAACTGGCTTCACTTTCGTTCTATAGCAGAATGGCGCGTTCCTACTCCTTGTCCGTAGGACAACGCTTTACCTGCACTAAGTGTTTTTCCGTTTCGGTTTAAGCATGATTTTTCTTTGGCCGCGAGAACTATGACGACTGGACATTTGCTGTCGAGAATTTTATGGTGCTTGAGGGTCTTTCAAAAACTCCTGATGGTTCGTATAGGTACTGCAGATGACAATGTCGCTAGAGCCAAAGCTAAATTGGTGCTTAAATTGGATACTTCGCTTTATATCTACAAGAGAAGCTAAGACATAAGAGCTTTGGGATAAACTGAGAACCATGTACGCTGATACAGGTTCTACCCGAAAAATAGGACTGTTGCGTACACTCATTTCTCTAGGTTTAGAAAACTGTGATTCAATGGAGTCCTATGTGAACCAAGTCATAGAGACAGCGCAGAAGCAGCAGAAGACCGGTTTTAAGATAGGTAGATGATAGCTGGATTGGCTCTCTTCTGTTGGCAGGACTGCCTGACAGATTCACGCCCATGATA